CTTCATAGTTTGTTCAATGTCCCGTTAAATATTTTTTTATGTTAGGAGGTGGCAAACGAGCTGGCGGTTCACCCGATGTTAAGTGATAAACGCCTGCCCATGGACATTTGCAAAACCCGTAGGCTTACAGATGCGTTGCCCCCTCTTGATAATGTGGGCCCCGGCTACCTCACTCACCAGACAAAACGCAGAAGTGCAACACTTCTACTTTACGCCGGTCTTCTGTGAGGTCGTGGTACTTACCTGACGGACCTGCCCATTCGTGCAACACTGTTGCGGCCCTTCCACCGTTAGATATTTTAACAGAATGACAAAGGACCTTAGTAGAGCACAATACACTAACGTTTAAATAATTTTCTTAATGACGATTGACGGCTACTATAATTTCAATCAAAATCGACACTGCGCGTGATTATCGAAAAATTCTATATTCGTCTACGAAACTCACTGACCATATGAAATCTTACATTTTATTAAAGCAACAATATTGGCTACACGCACATGTCTTTTACTTTATTTTCATATTAAATATTGTAATGTTTTAAATTATAGCTATGATTGCGATATAAATGTCGTCTAAATTTTCAACAAAAGTATAATGTACTTTTGACCACAATTTTTTAGCAATTCAGTACCATATAGTCTGTATATTTAATTTTCATTACTGCTACATCAAATTTGTTGTGCTGTTTAAAAGAGGCTTGCGCTCGGTCTCTGAAATACTGATCGGTGTTTCAAAAATCGGGCGTTAAGTTCCTTGTTCGTGTCAAACATTACTTAAAAATTGCAGAAGTGACATGAAAACAGCAATTTCTATGACAATGAAAAATTGTGGAATAATAACTGGATTTTACTGAAATTTAAATAAATTGTCTAAATTTACAATAATGTATGATAATAATCTTAATATACCATTTTTTTTTCTGAACATGTTGATAGACTTTAAAAATACGTTATAATAGGTTTCGCGATATCCATATATTTTCCATACTGTTTCCCTAATATGGTATCTTAATGTAATACATTTGTATATATACTTAATCATACAGCAACTATTTGTGTTAACTATACATGAATTTTCACTAAAGAGTATATTTATAATTTTCAAGTTTCTAGAATAAACGTCTCTATTTATTTCTAAGTGCTAGCTAATGTGCTGTCCAAAAATAATTTTTCCCTTTTTTTATACGTACATTACCGTTTTTGATGTGTTTAGAGTTATCACAAACAAAATTTTAAAACTAATTTGGATGGTTATAAGGAAACTCGAAGAACTATTTTTAAATATTTTGTGTTATCTATGTTGTAAATAATTTATATTTTGCTTAAAACAATTTCGAGATTTATGATATTCTATTTGAACAGATACATCAATTCCTGTACTCATATTTGAAATGAATACAATTTTACGACCTTTGTTTCAATAATAAATATCTATACTAAATTCATATTTTACAAGGGCCACATATAAGCCAAAATATATTACTAGTTACATACTATAGACAGGTTAATCAGTTTCCTGTATAAGTAAATAACTTTAACATGATACAATATCAAAAAATATAAAGATGGCTTTTACGAGTGAGTTTTGAAAAAGTGTTAAAAACAAAAAAAAATCTTTTTTGAGATTCCTCAATAGTGTGTTAATTCTACATTAAAGCCTTGATCACGATTGCTTTATATATAGCAAGTCCATTTTCACTTACTGGTCGACATTCATAATCTCATTTAACAAGTAGTTACTTTAAATATGAATTTAAAATAACAACAGTTCTTTTTTCTAATCATGCAGACCATTTTTATATTAAGGTCTATGCTCATGCTATAGTCACTGTCATCTCAGCATCAATGACAACAGTGATTGATGAACATTAAACATTAAGGACCTATGTATTATTCTAAACTAGATTGTACATTTCCACTTGTCCTAAAATAGTAAACCCAATGATGGTGCACATAATTATAAAAGAACTTACAATATAATATCAGTACCACCTTATTGCTAAAATCTGGCGATATGAAAACTATGAACTGCATATAAAATCATAACCTGTATAGCTAAAGATATAAATGGCTACACTCAATATTGCATGTTCTTGCACACAATATTGAGTGAAGCCAAAGCTATTAATTTATTTCATACTTCATCCATTTGTATTACTTGCTGGTTCTATAAAATATTACATAAAAAAAAATTATAGTTTTACATTGATTTCTTGTTTTTACGCGAATATTATACATTGTTGAATGAAACTAATTTACAATTTTTTTCGCGTTTAATTAGATTTTGAATACCCGACGGTTGGAACCTTTTTCAGCGTTCACGGTCATTGTACATTTGGCAAAAAAATCCGTAAAATGGTTTAGTTTATAGATTAATGTTTACAATTCCCCTAAACATGAAGTATATGAAGTATATAGATTTCATATCACTTACAAATCTATACTTTTGATGCATTTCACATGTCTACATTTGATGTCCCCAATAAGATTTAAAACTACATACAACAACACCCATACAGCTAGTAGAAACCTTATTTTTTGTTAATGCAATTGGAGATTATTATATCACAAGGGCTGTGCCTAGCAATTTACAATTTATATTATGAAATTTTCTATATGTTATATAGATACTATGAAATATTTGTTATATATTTCTTAAATACTGTTTTAAATTTATTCTTAAAAATACTACTATCAAAAAGTAAATACTAATTATTATTCTTATTGCTTTAGGTTGTGCATAAAAAATTCCCATTAGCAAATTAAATATCTAAAAAAATTTAATGACTTCTAATTAGCATTACACATAAAAAGTAAAACAAAAATGTATTCATTGTTTTCTGTAGCATAGAGAATGAAAGTAATAATAATATATCTCTATGTCCTTCTAGTAGCATAAACAATAAAAAATACGTAGTAACTATAAAATCAAAACTGGCAAAATTTAACAACAGTTTTGCTAAACCATGCTAGAATTTGTGACTCATAATAATATATTGTACAAGACACTTAACTATCAATTCCGTTATATTGTAATGTTTGTAATTAAATGCAAATACTGTTTTTTTTTTCTCTCTCTTACACCCGGTTTGTCATTTGAGTTGCCAAAAGGCTGGTTAAATTCTTTGAATTGGTCATTCTAATCATTACAGTTTAACCAACCTTTTGGCAAAGTAACATTTGAAAAGCCATTTGACAGCTGATTTGTTAACTTCTATGGTGATCAGTGTTTCAGAAACCGGGCATTAGTGGCACTATTTCATCTAAACCTATTTCAATAAACGATCTCTAAATTTTCGTTGTGGAATGTTATTAACACTTTCTAGTCTTAAGTTTACAAAGGAATGGCAAATGGCAATTTCATATATATTCTATATACCTCATATTTCCTCGTTTTTTCATGATAGTTATCAAACCTACTAGTCGTAATATATAAATAAATATTGCGACTAATAGAGTCCTACTATTGAGGTATATGTTCATAAAAATACGAGAGCATGTAAATGGTATTGCTATGCATGTAATGAAAATACAATATCACATTGTCTTCTACTTTTGAAGAAATTTTCATATGATCACATTTCAATCGAAAGTAAGTACATGATTTTATGTCCATATTAAATTATTCCTCGAACTTCATAAATTAAGTGTAGATGTTACATTACAAATATACAAAAATGATGATAACAATATCTTTCGCCAAGATGTATCCATATTAGTATGTTGATTTATTTATAACACACATGTCTCTTTTATGAAAAGCTTGCTTTACTTAATCCTATCCTCGGAGTTGCTTCATAAAAATTTTCATTTTAGATGGCTAACATATTACACATAAATAAGAACAACATGCCTATTAATTTACTACATCACTAACTTGAGAGAAAAAAAATTGAAATACATATAAAATATTGTACTAAATAACTTAAACTAGTAATGCTATTCTCAACTCAATAAGTCTTACTGCAAAAATGCACCAAAAACATGTATAAGTTAAATAGAGCACACATAAGACTATACCGAAATGAGAATTATTGTTACATTCTTTTTAATGCATCACAAATTAAATGAATCTTTTTATTTAAAACAACATTTTTATATTTAATGTTTTAGTAACCCTTTTGAAATTTAAGAAATCTTCAAAATGCAAACTAGAACAAAGATAAGAAAGCTATAGCAGAACTTAAGAATTAGAAAATGTTAATTTTTGAAACTGGGAAGACAGCATTTCCAAATACATTAGGATGTGTATAACATTTGAAAAAAAATTAAAAGAGAGACACATTGTAAAGAAACGCTTTAAAGTGAAACAAAAGTAAAATAATGTTTACAAGCAAAAGTTAAAACCATCCCAAAAAGCATTTTAAAATTATATTTTTGTATTCTACTGCAATACTTCTGTAACAACTGTGTACTTTAATAACTGTGATACTATCGTTTTAGAAAATTATATCATAACAAAAATTTATATAAATTCAAAAACTGGTATTGGGTTTAAAGAACATAACATTTGTAAAAAACCAAATTCTTCAGGGTAAAATCACCAAATTTCTAATATCCCTAATATCTTACATGTGCGTATGTAAAAGTAAATTGTAATAGAAATTAGTGGGATACTCCTAGTTATTAAATAATAAAACTTATATTCGCAGAATCAGATTAAAAAGAAAATCTATAAAAGTGTTTAGTTGTTACTTTAATTTAGCTTATTTATTAATTGCTCTTCCAGATTTGTAATTTTTGTATGTATTTGTTGCATGTAATTCTGTAAAGCTAATTCCGTTGGCAGATTATAAATTTAATGTTAACAGTTCATGATATAATGCCATAGTTTTGAAAAAAAAATCTGTTCAATTTATATCAATACTGCCTATTAAAACCATATTTCGGAGGCAATGTTTATCAATGGCCTATTTTGGATTATCCAATTAAGCTGCTGGCTAAAAAATCACGTACCGCATACTGTCAAGTTTTATCATAGGGCAAATTAAGCTCTATCGGCGCGACGCGTCGTATTCTTTGACGATCTCTGGAATGGCGTTAGGCTCGACGGGTACTTGCTGCACTAATTCATTGAGGTTTCGCACGTAGCTCAGTTTGCGAAAGAACTTGGAGCTGTCGGAGATATTTGATTATATTAATTCGCTATTTCGTTTCAAAATTATTACCTCGTATTATGCAGCTATCGACGTAAAATCTTTTTAATTTATTCCAATATTTTTTGATGAAACATTCATTATAATATACGAATATATTCGATAATTTTGCTTTGATTAATTATCATAACAGAATCAAATCCAAGATGAAAAAATAATTGAATTAGCTTGTCTCTTGAATTATTTTTAATGACTCTAAATGTCTATAAATAGACAGACATCAATAAACTCACTTATAAATTATTTGAAAGTAAGTTGTTTGCTAAAACATTTATTTATGTGGTAAGTATATCTGTAACTCTGGCAACATTAAACTAGTAAATATAGTATGGATATACCTGACGAATGGCTTTGTTATAACTACAAAGGACTTTAGCCAAAATGTGGGATGAACAAGGTACAGATGTTTAAGGCTTTTTCTTAATCTGTAAACAAAAAAATATATTTATTTTCTATTCTCCTGAATACTATTTTTGTGCTCTCCTACTACCTCATTCCATTAGCGTATATCAACAAGAATAGCTTACAACTGGCAGAGTAGAATAAATAAGAAGCTGGTATTTAATTGGATTATTAAATGATGACTTTCTGACAACATATTTTGGCACAAGAGCATAAAATATCTTATGGTACGGTATAGGACTGCAAATCATCAAGGTGGTCATTGAGACTGTATGCTTTTTCAGCAAGTTCATTAGACAATACCATGTTATACATTCTCTTACCTTCTATCAATGAGTTTATAGCACTCATGTAGCCAGGCAAAGGTTGGAAGTCGCCTGCGGCCAGCACTACCATGCAAATATACTAACACATATTCATCTGTCACTAGTCGTTCCAAACTCCATATTACATATCTGAAATAACATAATAATTATTATATAGTATGATATAGTTTGTACACATCTTCCACCCCACGGGAGTTATAAATGTTCATAGGCGGCAGTAATAAAAAAATCTTAAAACTTAGAACTAAGTTTTTTGATGGTCACACCTACAACAAGACTTTAGAAAGCTCAAATAAAAAAATGCACACTAACAAGAACAAGTTATCCATAACATATCTATAGTCTGGCCTTGCTGTGTCTGGAAGATGGCAAGCGCTAAACACAATAATGGCCGCGCCGCTGCTCTCGTATCCACCGTGTGATAGCACCCGTTTGTATGGCTCTATGACCTGCAAGACACACACTTGGTATAATATTGACATGTCATACATGTAAACATTGAAGTTAAACATTTATATTTTTGTCAGCAAAAACTAGTGATTCAAATAATAAAATTTTAGTTACAATAAATAAACAACACTGAAAAAGGTGTTTTACCTAAAAAAATAATTCATATTTGTTCATAAATTGAGATTAATTTAAGGGCACTGAACACTATAGCAATATTTTATGGTACTGTAGTAAACAATTAACATTTACATGCTAATAAAATGTACCTTCATATCACAGGTAGCTTTACGGCCACTGTGTTGTACTGTCAGCCATGACCGTTCGTCGTGTAGTTCTTCCGCAGCGGAATATTCTGGTATTGGATCACTACATTCACTTGCTGTATTTGTTGATTTAGACCTATAATAATTTCAAAGTTATATGTTAAAATTGTAAAATTTGTAGGCTTGGAAATAAATGTGATGGTATAATTATGAAAATGAATTTTAAGATTTAGCCAGTTTGGAAACAAGAATCAGTTATATATATATATAATATTAAGAATGATGAAGCAAGCCACTTAGTTCCAATGCGAAAAATTGCGTCAATAAAAAAATGGAGACCTTTTGGGGGGCTGCGCTACCCAGTCGAAATTTGATGACACTTACACATATGAATAAATACCTTGTCCTATTTTTAATGTCCATGGGCAGCCGTTATCACTTAATTTCATGTGAACAGCCAACCTACTCGGCCAGTCACTTGCGTACTTCTTACAATAAAAAAAAATTCGAAACATTATTACTTGAATGAAGTGTACCTCTTAGTATCATCAACTTCGCTCTCTGGATGTATTTGGTCTTCAGTAATGGGTTCAGGTTCGGGGGGCTCTTCTTCGGACTCCAAGGAGCATCCACTTACACTGTCTAAACTACATCGGTCATCTTCTGGTGGCTGTAAATCAAATTAAATGGGATTTGTTCATTCTTCTAGTAAAACTATTCTATATTTGAATATAATTTAGTTAACAATCAATAATTGTATGATGAAAACATTTAAAGAATAATACGAAACATACCAAATGTATCTTTCTGCGCGGCGGACCCGGACTTTTAGCAGTTCTGTGGCGAAGCGCAACACTGCCGGTATAAGGATCTAATAATGCTTGATAAGCAGATTTGTCTTCTTGTGTGGAGGAAGAGACCACATCAGGAGAATCCAAATACTGAAATAAACAGATCCACTGTTTTAATATTGAAAATTATATGTTAGAAGCTATTGAGAGTGGTATGATTTATAATTGAATGATACAAGCTCATTCTACTAGATGTTCAAACCCTGTGGAATAGACCTAAAATAACTTGTGTTGAAAGCAACTAAGAGGAGAATGGGATAGCGGGCAATAACGGTGACGCGTGGAAGGCCAAAAGTGCTCTCACGTTGCCATGATACAGCCTGATAGGTCTTAGTCTTCACTTGGTTAAGCTTATTCCCAGTGCAGTTGCACTTTCGCGCTGGTTAGAATATCCAGATTCGTTCTAACGCCCTGAGAGCGGCCAAAGCAGATTTAATAATCGATATTATCGTCATTCTGCATATCCCTATTTTTCTTAGAGGGTACATTTTAAAGTTTCGCCTGATACCAAAAAGCATAAGAAATGGTAGTGGGCTTTCTGTATTGTATTTTGTGTGAAAGGGGTTGGGTAGGTATTCGTAATATCCACTGCAACCTAGAAAGACACATTATAGTCTTCCCTTTAAACATTGACCCCTTACTGTAGGATAAAATCTCTATCCCATGCGGTAAGGATGTTTAGATATATAAATTTCACTTGGATAAACACCCAGATCCAAAACAATTATATGTAATTTACATAAGTTGTCATTGTTGTTCGTTGTCAAGTGTGGGAATCGAACCCACGACCTCCGGCGTCAATGCCCAAGCCCTCTCTGCGCCACAGAGTCACACTGATGTTTCTAAAGACTACAATAGGTTGCAGTGAATGTTGGGACAAACAACTTATATAGTTGGGACAGTTGGGTAGTAAGTCCCAACATTCCCATCAACACAAAATACGAAATATTGGAAAATTGTAGAACATCAATGCTTCTGCAATGTTAGGTGGGAATGAGTGGGAATTTCCACCATCAAAAAATTAAATAAAGGCATTTCAAGGTTATTAGTCGAAGCTTTGTCTCATCTAGTTTATTCTTAGGCCCATTACTGATGGATACTGAAGTATCCTATAACAGATGTCTTCATGATAAGCTTTAAAATATAAGTGTTTGTTCACGTAGGATCACGCGGGCGCGGTGGCGAGTGCAGGCGCGGTAGACGTCGCGATCTCATGTTCACGTTAGCCGCCAGTCGTTTGCGCGACTGAGACGTGTTTTCAGAGGTTGAACTGAGACGTGTTTTCAGAGGTTGAAAACTCGTGATCAACGAACACGATGATCTTATATTTTTAACCGAAAATTCATAACTAAAGTGGAAGATACTTAAAAATTTGAATTGGTGTGCAACAATTTAATAACGCAAGAGAACGGAATGGTTAATTTTATACTTTAGATAGTAATTTGAGAGAACATCCTTCAAGATTTTTGGATAAACCAGAATGACTGTAAACTGTTTTGATTACATACTAGATTCAATAAGGAGTGTCATTTTAAAAAAATCGTGCTATAATTTCTAGCGACAAGTTCAAAATGGTTGAACTTAGCTGACATCGCAAGGGAATAGCGCGCTTCGCCGCTAGTCTGCCCGCTAATTAGACCGCGCGTGAATTTCGTACGTGAACATTTGGATACTAAGTTGATACTAACTTGATATTTCGTGACCGCGCCCGCTACCGCGCCCGCGAGTCAACGTGTTTAAGCACTAATACAAAGACTATCACCAAATATTAATAATGATTTATTATGAAACTTATTGACTTGATTTATTATATTTACATCAAGCTAAAGTCCCTCCACACCATGTCTGTCTGTATGTTATAAACTCGAAACTACTGAAAAAATTTCATATGGTTTACACCAATTGATAAACTGATTTATGAAGGAGGTCTAGCTGCATAGTTCAATAAGGTTTTTTGTCAAATGCCTGAAATATGATGATGAATGCTGATCATGAAAAATGGATAAAACTCAATGAGCAAGCAAAAAGTTGTAGGCGTACATATACTGCTAGCCATGGGAAGCTGGGGCGAGTCACTAGCATGTTATAAGTTATGTCATAATAATGGTTGAGGGTTTGACTGTTCTAGACTGCAAAAAATTATAATTTGGTTGAATTAAACTTACATTCTGAATTCCAATAGTACTTGACATCTCAATGGGTAATTCGAAATTTGGTAATGACCGTAAATGTGAAGGAGATTCGCACCATTCTGCAACCTGTTACATAATTATATTAATCAAATCTTAATCTAGAATTTGCATTGATTTTTTACACCATTTACATACTATTTTTAAAGATACATAAATTTCTTTTTGGTTGATATTTTTTTTATTAAATATGTAATATTTACTTAAATATAAAATTTTTTATGATTAATTTTATTTTTAGTGCTGCTAGTCACTGCACCAAAGGTGAAAGCTTAATATGCATATTTTTTAGGTTGACAAAAGCCTTTTGCGGGGCTATTGCAAGCCTATTGCATTCCCCACTAGCTTTTATCTACATATTATAAAATAATAATTCACAATTTAATAACTAGAATCTATTTTAGATTTTTTTAATAAAAATTAAATATAAGATAAGAATTTAAGTTTTAAATTGTTACCAAAAATAATGTACATGTTTCAAATATGTTTCATAAATGTTTCAGAATTGATAAAATGAATTATAAATGATGTCTCATTTATAGATTAAAACAAACTTGATTATTACCCCAGAATGAAATTCTTCTGGTTGGGTTATATTTATAGCACAATTTGATTTCGGTGTACTTTGACTAGAAATTTTTTGTGTCCTTTCTCCAAAACTTTTAATTATGGCACTTTCTTTTTCTCTATCTGGCACTATATGATTCTTTTTTGGTGTAAATTGGGTCTTATTAGGTGTCTCAGTAAATTTTGGGACTATTTTCCGTCTTTCTTTCTGATTTACTTGCTCTACTATTGCAACATCTGGAGGAATTACATTCAAGGACTCATTAAGAAGTTGGCTATCTGCTGTAACAAAGTTTTCTGAGAAATAGAGATTATTTTTAGATGTATTCATTTGAGGACTGTAAAATTCATATCCATTTGTCTGATTTAAAATTCTTTCATCTTCAATACTCGAGAGACTTAAATCCTTATCATCTTCAGCCTTATGTATCTTCTTTGGTATTAAATCTGGAAAGTTTTCTTCTGGACTTCCCAAGGACATAAGTGGATGATTAGTTGTTAGTGTTAGTGTACTACTTAACCTGGGTGGACTTATCCCAAGATGCTTAGGCCTAGGACTATCTGTTGCAGTTTTAAGAGTAAGGTGTGACATTTTTGATATCAAACTATCATTCAACTCATTGTTTAACTTAGAAACTTTTGAATTGTCATTCTTCTCTGGTCCTAATAGTCTTAACACTGGGTTATGTTCAATATGATCTTCAAAATCAGATGACAATACTGAATTTGGGGTATTTTGCGTGGAACGATATGATTCTGAAGCAGTATCCATCTTTTCATCTGAAGATTGCGAACTAAGAATATCCTCTTCACATATTCTTGGTGAGTAAAAATTACTGAAATTTTAACAGACAAAAGTTTACATTATTACTTAAGTAATTTAAGAACAAATAAGGTAAAATGTGAACATAATATTTTGTTACAGATTATTTTATTACAGAGTTTTAGTTATCTACTCTTCACTATATGACAAATTTTGCATTAAGATACAAAAAAGTTTACCAAATTCATAAAATTTTAGAGAATATACTAATACTATACTAATGTAAATGTTGCTGATTTCCTATAACTGATAACATTCATCTGTTTTATTTTTTTTAATGCTTTTTACTATCATTTGAATAATGAATATTAACTAGATGTCGAAACAATCACAAGAAATGTCAAAAAAAAGCTGTTAAAAAAAAACTTTTATGATTTTGTATGTGGTAAAAATGCTTATTTTCGAATGTGATACCTAATTTAATCAAGAGACACTACAGCATATCTTATAATAGTCAAGAACGTTTGAGCAGGCTACAATTCCAAAAAGACTATCATTTATACCGTATGCTTGAAATGCCAGTATACACTAAGCAAATGTTAATCAGCTTTGTAAAAAGGTGGTAGTCAATGTAAGAGATGTTATAATATCCAACGTTATTTTATTATTTGGGTAATTGTTTACAATCTGGGTAAAGTGCATAATAATTATAACAGTGCCTAATACGTTAAATATCAGCAAACATGTATTTCCTGGAAGTTTTGATAAATAACTTTAAAGTGGGTGGAATAAAAAATTATAATATAGTGAATAGCTGCGTAACCCTAAACGGCATCAGATTATTTAATAGATTAATAAACTTAAATAAATACGTAAGGCTAAAGAACAATAATAGATAACAATTATATGAAAACAAAATTCTTTTTTAAAAAGTAAAAACTTGTTGCTCACTTACTTCATTTGTGCCGCTGTGATTTATCAAGTTTAAAAGTCCTTATTTTATTACTGTGGGTTTTTTCCACATTTAAAAACAATAGTTATAAAATTAATTTCAAATTCTTTATTTTGTAGACATGACGTACAACAGCAAGTATAAAGTGATTCTGGCGTTTGATTTGATTGACGCAATCGCCATTGTATTGTTTTCGAGTGGTGCGTTCTGTTCTCACGTTTTATTTGATGTTAGGAAAGTGAACAAGAACGTAAACGAGCTATAATTAATGAAATAAAATTAGTTGAAAAGAAGACTCGAAATTTTTTAATATGCATACTGTTTGCTTTTTTTACATATTTTTCGTTTATTTAATTAAATAATTGGCAAGCAGGATTTTTTTTATATGAGACTAGCGACCCGTCCCGGCTTCGCACGGGTGCAATATATTATACATATAAACCTGCCTCTTGAATCACTCTATCTATTAAAAAAACCACATCAAGATCCGTCGCGTAGTTTGAAAGATCTTAACATACATAGGGACATACAGACAGACAGCGGGATGACTTTGTTTTATACTATGTAGTGAAGGTGGCATACGAGCTGGTTTTCACCAGAGGTGACAATCACCGCCCATTGATATTTGAAACCCCCATAGGCCATAGGGTTGCAGATCCGTTACCACCGTTTAATAAAGTGGACCCCGGTTATCAAAGTCAACACACACTTCCACTTCACGCCGAACAGTTCCAAAAAAAGTGTTAATGACGAAATTAACAACAAAGATGTATCTAAATTATAAATCTTTACTAATATTATATAGGCGAAAGTTTGTATGTTTGGATGAATGTTTGTTACTCTTTCACGCAAATACTACTGAATGGATTTTAATGAAACTTTACAATAATATAGCTTCATCAGAATAAGACAATGGCTATAATTTATACAGCGTGTCGTTACCATCGCGACAATAAATGAAGACACGTCTAACGCTACTTGCCAATAATCATAAAAAAATATTAACGTTAAACAAAATCCATAATTTAAAAAAAAAATTTTTCTAACAAACTAATTAAGTAAAAAAGAAACAAAATTTGTAACACCTATAGAACTCGCGCCACAGCGTCGCATTACAAGCCTCTCCTTCTAACAGTATGTTTTGTCTGTTTTAAATTCATTCAACCCATTCATATGCTTTGTGACCTTTACAAATGAACTTTACGTTACGCTTTTATAGGTAAGGGTGTTCTAAAATTCTTTGTTTTGGAAAATTTAATAAGCCTGTAAATATTGATGTTTAAAGAATTTAAATGTTTAATACAACTTTAAAAAGTTATCCCCTATATGTTTGTTCATTTATTGTCGCGATGGTAACGACACGCTGTATACACATTTTATGTATGTATATCTGTCTTTCTGTCTAAATGTTACGCCTTCAGCCTATTCTATGCAGACATAGTCGCGGGCAGCAGCTAGTAATCTATAAATATAAGAAAAATGTAACTAAGACATATGAGAAAAAATTATTGGGGGCCTTTATCAACGCAACAGAACCCAAAACAATCATTGTTAAAATTATTGTCTGTTTATTTGTGCGTATGTGCGCGCTACTCTCAAAAACAGCGCCTTAACTGATTTTGGTGCAACTTTCACTAACGAATTGTACAAAGCTTCACTTAACCCTTACAGGACCATAAGATGTCCAAGACTAAATATGCCGATACAATACAATATTTTAGCTATTGTGGGTATAAAGTAAGAGGATATCTCCAGAAAAACATAGAAGGGTGTATAGGTTTCCTGTAATTTCATGGGAAATATTTTTCCCTATGGACCATAAAAGTAAATAAATAAAGAGTAAGGTTTATTTTATCGGTATTTTATTTATTGCTTTGTAATACAAAAAAACAGTAAAAATTATCAGAAAAGTAAAATAAATAGTTAGTTCTACGAAACAATTTCGTTTACTTGTAAAACACAAGTGGACATTGCACATAACACATTTATTATGTGTCCTATTTTCTATACGTCGTTTTGCACAATTTACGTACCTCTTCAGTTTTTCTGCTTTTTTCTTTTGTCAAATTGCGTTTATTTCCAATGCGGAGCTTTTCAGAAGAGACTTAAGTGACTCTTGTTTGCTGTCTACATGTAAAATATCTGAATACTTGGCTTCGAAATCTCGAGCAATGTCCAGTTCCGGGGTCAATTGGAAAGTAAGGCCAAATTGGCTTCAAAGAAGGTAGGTTCGCTCAGTAAGGCGAGACATCACGTCGGCGCAACGCCTAAACCTTTATAAGGCGCAAATTCGGCCCCACATGGGGTACTGTTGTTACCTCTGGGCGGGAGCCGCCTATTCCCAGCTTCTTCCATTTGACCGCATCCAACGTAGGGCAGCTTGGGTTATCGACGATCAAAGTCTTTCCGATCAGCTTGATACTTTGGTTCTGCGTAGACATGTTGGATCACTCTGCATCTTCTACCACACCTATCACGGGGAGTGTTCCGAAGAATTGTTTGGATTGATCCCGGCGGCTGAATTTCACCATCGGACATCGCGTCAGAACCAAAAATTTCATCCACACCACCTCGATGTCCAGCGTTCCACAACAGCGAGATTTTCAAGACATTTCCTGCCTCGTACAACCTTTCTGTGGAACCAACTGCCGCCGGTGTGTCAATAAGAGAGCATACTCTTTCCTAAAAGGCTTGCAACGCATTTGTAAACCCTCTGGTGTTGCAGGTGTTCATGGGCGGCGGTGATCACTTACCATCAGGTGAGCCTCCTGCTCGTTTGCCGCGCTTTCTTCCCATAAAAAAAATATTAGACCTCGTGCTACATGTTGATGATACTTCTTGAACAGAATCTTCAATTTCAACAACATCGGTTCTATTTTCTACATCTTGAGCTATGAACTGCTGGTCTTCTTCGTCTAACTGTAGTCTGTAGTAAGTTATCTTCTCCGTTACTACTGTCGCCATAAGTAACTGCAATATTTCTTCATCTTGAATTTGAAATTCTCTGCACTTTTGGTCTTTTCTGTAAAAAACCATGATGCTAAATTGTATAAAATACAAGAAAATACAAGAAATCCCTACATTATCATAAAGCACTACATATAATAATAATACAACGAATACACCAGATATTGACCAGAGGGAAAAATATTTCCCTTTAGATGATTTGCAATTTTCAGGTACTTGTGCTAATGTTCTGCAGTTTACTGTATTATTACATAAAATTATACTTACCAAATAATGTAAAACACGTGACAAAATAAAGTTATTTTATTTTCTCAAGTCCAAAACACTTCCTAGATATTATTAGTTCAGCCCGCGAATGTTTTGGTTTTGGCGCAATAAAGTTTGACAGTTATTTTTTATTTATTCATTCAGAAATACATTTGCCGCCTTGGACATACGTTTTATTTTGAAATTTAGTAAAAAAAAATATCGATTCAATAATAATTGAACAATCGATAATGATTTTTGTAGAAGGGAAAAATATTTCCCTTGGGCGTGAAAGGGTTAAGATTTAGTGTTAGTTTTTTAGTATTTGTTATAGTAGGCAGAAGAAGTACATCATCTGTGAAAATTTCAACTGTCTAACTATCATGGTTCATTAGATACAACCTCGTGACAGACTCCGCAGTCTGTGTGTCCGTCTTAGTAATAGGGACACGTTTTACCGTTTGAGTACGGAACCCTAAAATGAACAGTTTTGACACTTCCAATGTACCTCAGAATTATACAATCCGTCATCTTTCATATGTAATAACACTTTGGCTGCGGCACCTAAAATCATAAACCATCATCTACTGCAGCGGCGGGTCGAAATGCGCCCCTAACGATATTTCTGCCAGTGTGACTTTTGGGTCTTTCTCGAACCAACAGCACTGGGTAAATTAAAATGCTATAACTATGCGAAAACATGATTTTTGTACCGTTAGAATGTCAAGATCATTCTATTATATTCGCCCCTAGATCTGCTAAACAGGAAATGAGCCAGGAACCAGGGAAAACGGCGAGCCGATATCAACCTGAATCTCACTAGAAAGTATTTTAGAAGCGATGGGACGGACAAAAATAAGAGGATAATATACTAATATTATAAAACTGAAGAGTTTGTTTGTTTGAACTCGCAAATCTCAGGGGCCACTGGTCCGATTTGAAACATTCTTGCATTGTTATATAGCCCATTTATTGAGGACGCATATAGGTTACTTTTCAAGCACGACCTAAAATGTAGTGCATGCCTGCGGAGCCGCAGGCGAAAAGCTAGTTGTTCAATATAGCTATTGAGCTCTCTGGGAGAATATTACACTATTGTGCACCTGAAGGGTATTAGATTTTTTTAAGGTTAATATATCTTACGTAACTTAAAATCAAGCCGGCCATGTTCAAATATGGCAGTTCTGGAAGCGTTTGGATAAATATGTTTTTATAAACCTACACTAACAACAAAACTTATATCCATATTTAGGTACTTCTTTAGAAATAAACAAAATATGTGTCGCACTCTTTGTTATGATGATAAATATGCTTCACTTTTGACACTGATCCTGTTCCGGATACAATCATTTTGATAATGAAAACCGGTGGTTGCATAGTTTACTCCTAAAACATGATATATGCTAGATCTACGAGTTTCACATTTTTGTTCTTCTTTATGGCTTTTCTTAAAAGAAGCTGATAATTTTTGTTAGAACCTCAATTTGAAAGAAAAAATATACTTGTCTAATAACTACAAGAAGGAAAATATTAATGTCAAATTTATGTTAATTTCAAAATAGTGTTTGGTTATCAAAATTATTGTTACTATTTTATAAGTTTCTTCAAAATTACGATAATTCAAAAATAAAACGTTTTCCTTCTTATCTAAATTCGTCTGAATTTGTTAAATATTTTTTTATTGCTTACAGACGAGGTGGCGTCAAAACGGTTTGTTTTTTCTTTCATTTGCATAATACGATAACAATAATAATTATCTAACGATGTACACGTTTTTATGTTAAAATATATACTGGTAAATGAAAGAATTAAATAATCTAGGTTCGCCGAAATAATTATATCAAAACGATGTAAAAGTACACACTTTACGTAATTAACAAGGTAACAGTTACATAAATGTTACACTGTTTTACAAAAGATAACAATCGACCTCAACATGCATTGAGCCCTGATTTCTTGGAATATACATTTTCAATTCAAAGCAATTGCTATTGGTTCTTGAATGGTTTATTTGCTACTTAGCAGGCTACGTGAACAAACGGTGCGACTGAAGCATAAAATTATAGAAATACGATGAGTAAGAATCCATTAATGTTTTTTAAACAAAAAGTCAAATACGTTATTGGTCCTTTCAACTATATGACGCTTATCCAGTTTAAAGAGCTTCCTTATTTACCGTAATCAAATTTATAATTAAATTATATAAATTTAATTTTTATATGTGCTTACTGTATTTCGTATAGTACTCTTTGTTTCGATCTAACCAGGAAGTCTGAAAAGATTCACATAACATTTCAGTTTCCTTTTACAAGTTCTGGTGTCAGTTTACTCATGTTTTCTAAATATTGCCCGTTTTAAATAGTATTTTAGGTCGCTGTTAAGCATTATAATTCAGTTAGTGTTTGGTGCTTCAAGCAGAAGTCAATTGTAGAGTTTTCTGTTCTAGGTATTGTAACCGTGACAAAAATGCAATTTTTTGCATTAATATATTTATCTTATTTCATTTTACCAGCAATATTCGCCGAGGACGTGAGTTGTAAGTAAAATCATATGTCTGTAATTAATCTTATTAGAACAAAATACTGTGATACAAAAAATTAAATTAAAATACTTTAAAATACTTTTACAGATCAAGCGTGCGTTGACAAATATTCGAGAAAAGGTTACCAGCCGTGGCAGGAATGGTCTGATCATTATACATGTCACAGATATAGATGCGAAATACGGGACGGAAAATATTTCATTGCTGCTGTTGGGTAACGTAACTCTACAGGAAAAACTGTTTCCTCTCTTAGAATTCCTTTTCAATTTTGAATGTTTTAGATGCCGCAAACCAAAAATTCCGGAAAATGCTTTGGAATGTCACGAATATATTGAAGATGAGAATGTTGGTATGTAACTGAACCACTTTATCGAAAATTTTAAGACACATTTCTGCTTATCACAGATACAAAGATAATACTGATAGAAGTGGCAATGAGATTTATTATTTTTAAATTAATTTCACTGTCAACTTCACTAGTATTATTAAAGTTCGAAAATTTCTTGATGAAAAAATTTTTTTTAATTCCAGAATTTCCGACATGCTGCGCTAGATTGCGTTGCGTCGTTGAAGTTAACGGCGAAAGAATAGTTCAGACGAGAGGCCAGCCAGGAGAACTCTTCCCAGACAAGTGAGCATAAATTTAATTCATACCACTAAATGATAAAAATAACTAACTCTAAAGGAGATAATGGATAAAAATAATTTATAATTGTAATACGTTTCTCTCTAAAAACCTCCTGACTTGATTAGTATTTTTAACGCGTTTCGGAATTTGTAAGAGCATTTTCTGTTGAACTTAAAAAAATAATTTGTCCCTTCTACATCAGTTACCCTTTTAATGATTGAAGTTTATGAACAATAACTATTGTAGACCATGGAAGGGACAGCAAAACGAACCCAGCCCGGCCGTAGTCGGTATGGGCAGCATCCAACAGAACACCGTGGGGGGAGAGGCACAGACCCAGTCGGCACCTGGAATTTTCAACAGCAGAGGCGCAGGCAAGCAAAGTAAGATGTTATTGACCATTGATTGAATCGTTTAATCTAATTAATAATAATATCGATTTACATCAATGGGTAATAATGTCTTGGATAACATACGTTAGCCGCGTATTCACTGTGAAACTCATTGATCGCTATTGATATTAAAATGTTTTCCATGTAATCGTGAAACGAATTAAAGTAGTTTAAATTAATCACAAAGTAATAAAACGGCCAAACTCAAGTACAATCGGTGTATGTACCGACTAGTTTCAGACGTATCGAAGGTCCTTCATCAGGGTGAGTGCGATGAGTTATTTCGCTAATAATGTCTCATGAAAGTTGTTGTAATTTATTTATACAGTGTCATAAAATTTTGAAATTACTCATTTAACGTCGTATGACACTCTTACGGATATCGGTGAAATAATATTATTATGACTTTTAACGTAAGTATAATATCACAAAATAGTTTAACATGAATATTTTATTAATTTAGCCAACGATATTCCCGACAGCGGATGGCAACGATATTAATGGACGTCGCTTCGTAGACCCTTACCCCAGCCAGCAGATGCAAGAATCTCCTAGAAGGAAGCGATCCACCGTCTACCCACTATTTGACAAAAACATGTTACGAGAACTGAATGCGTTCCAACCACACCAAGTTAAATTACATGGATATTCCCCAGAAAAATACACCTCGTACTTTTCGCATAACATAAAAAGTCTATCAAGCTCCAAGTTGCCTAATAATTACAATTAGAATTATTTTCCATTATCGTTCTACAACGCTGGCATAAAATAAACCAGACCCACCTGATCTTATATTTAATTATTGTAATGCAACGCACCATGCTATTATTGTTATTGTTTATTGAGTTTTGTTACGTTTTTTAACAAAAAAAAAGAAAATAAATTTGTTTGTTCTCACATTTTGTATTGTTGAAAATTTTCAAAAAAGAATTACCATCGATGCTTTTATCTTATGTTTACTAAATATTCATAATACTTCAACTTAAAGACATTACTATAGTTTTATGTATTATTATAATGCGTACTGATAAAATTTAATAACTTTACAATACTTTATCTATGTAAAGCTTAAACAATTGATACATACGAACAAGATATTGGATTTCAGGATTGGAAAATTAAAAAAATGCTTTAAATAGCTCTCTAATTTAAATCAGAAGCGAGTTTTTTTGAGAATTGACAGTATCGTTTTTGTCAAGCAAGTTTCAAAGCAAAAATGCACAAATATTTAACCTCTACTGTAGAAGATTAAATACCAGTTTTAGAAATTCCAAAATGACAAATTATTATAATGATATTATATATGAGCGAGCCGTGATAGCTCAGTGTCCGGGCGCTCGCCTTTATTTCAATATACTCGAGCAACCTGAGTTCGATCCCCGGTGCCGGCACCAATGAAGTTTTTAACTGTCGTTTTAACTGAAGAAAAACATCGTGAGGAAACCTGCATATTTTCGAAATAATAACAAAAAAAAATATGAAGAGAGAGATATGTGAAGTCCGCCAATCCGCAGTGGGGCCGCGTGGTGGACTATGCCCTGAGACCCTCTGTAGAATGAGGAGGCCTTTGCCCAGCAGTGGGACATGTATAGGCTGTTACTTTACTTTTTATATATGATTATCTATGTAGGTATAGACCTCCAATTCCTATACTTGTAGGGTACAAGTATAGGAATTGGAGGTCTACCTTAGGGCAGCGGTCGGCAACCTTTTTGCAGGCAAGGGCCACTAGGTGGCAAAATAAACTAAAGGCGGGCCGCACTTGTGATATAAACCTCAGAAGCCGAATATGCCTATATAATTCATCAAATCCCATAGAAAAAACGAAAATGCTATTCAAATTGTTAAAACATACGGAATTTAATGCGTACATGTAATATATTACGTTTATAGCTAGAAAATAACGGAATTAAAATAGAAATTAAAACTATAAAATTACTAATATACTTTCAGTGTGATGTCTGAGGTTGTATTTGGGAGGCTATTTCTTGTATGTTAGCTGTCATATTTGTAGTTGCAATTCGTAGAATGGCTCTCAAATGCTCATCTGTGAGACGAGATGCACATTTATTTTTTCTGTAATTGACAATTGAAAAAGTTTGTTCGCATAAATAAGTGCTACCAAAAATTGTAATGAACTGCTGAGCAAACTTTTTCAATTCGTCATAATCAGAAAGCAAGCTACCATAAAACTTAACAAGATCTTTGAGTTCATAGAAAGTGCTTTTAAGAACATCATTAGACTGGAGATCAATCAGATCAGTTGTATTAAAATATCCTTAATTTTATCACTTTTTGAGAATTAATTCCAGCTTCCTCAGCAGCTTCTTTACAATTCGGAAAATGATACCTGTGCAAATTTAGCACCCCATCTGAGGATTTGCGAAGTGCAAATGACCTTAATCGATAGGTCTACGTTAGGTCTATATAGGTCCATCAAAATTTTCGTTAGGTCCTTTATAGTTTTTTTTTATAAATATTTTTTTAAATTTTAATGAAAAAAAAATACATTTTAGCACCTCATTCAATGAAAAGCTGACAAATTTAATCATAATCGTATTCTTTATCGTTAGGTCCGTATTGGTCCATCATTTTGGTTATTAAATTATTTATTTTATTTGTTTAATTGATAATTATAAAATAATTAAAAGCTGCACATGCGCATATCCGGGTAATAAGTATTTATATCGTTGAAGTTTCATTTATATTTTTTATACCTTTAAACGAACAATTCTTGTATATTTATTTATTTATTTATACTTCATTGTTACACCTTAGACTAAAGGCTACAATGGGCGGACTTAATGCCTAGTGGCATTCTCTACCAGTCAACCCTTGTCATGGTGAGAAGTAGATGGCAGTAGATATATATATAATCGGAATCTCTGAAACGGCACCAGCAATTCTCATGAAATTTAGTATGTGTGCGGGGGCGAAAAATCGATTCGGGTAGGTTTCATTTTTAGTAAATTTCGTTTTATCCCAGTTTTCAGGGAATACGACGGTAAATTTCGGCGAAAAACAAAATGTTATAATAGTTGGTCGGTAATCGGACGGCCCCGAAACAGTAGGCCGTGGTTCGTGTCATGATCATTTACACACATATTTTTTTACTTTCTTTTCGATTCCAGATCATTGCTTTCTTTATTTTTTATTTTTTGTTGATCCTGATGATTTTCCGTCTATTGAGCTGCCGATATGCCTCAGCGTCTTCGGGAGATTGCAGTTGCATCGAGCGTCGTTCTGCGATTAGGTTGAGGGTACAATCAGATAACTTTTGCGCGGCCTATCTTTACAACGGGGTCGCAAGAATTTGGATCCCACCGTGTGGACAGTTTTTACCAGCCCGTTATTGATGTCGTCCACAGAGACGCAATGTTCTACGGATCTTTCAGTCCTTGCGGCATGACATTCGCTTATTTAATACAAATCATATTAAAGTTATGATTGAGCGGAACAAAGGCTCCAAAGTTTTTGTAAGGGACCTGTCTATTGGGCAAAGCCAGTTAACCTAGCTTAAGAGGGAAGACGGCAGTATAGCGTCCACCAAGTCGGAGGTGCTGAGGGAGATCGAGCGGTACTATGGACAGTTGTACACCTCGGTTGCTAAGAACGTTAGCAACTCGGCCAAAGACTTAAGAACCAAGCTTGCCCGACATTACACCGAAGATATCCCGGACATCGGCATGTACGAGATAAGGATGGCTCTCAAGCAGCTTAAGAGCAACAAGGCGCCAGTGCAAGACGGAATTAGTTCAGAGCTTCTGAAAGCGGGTGGAACACCGATACTGAAGGTCCTACAGAAGCTTTTTAATACCGTCTTGTTCAAAGGCATAACGCCTCAGGCATGGAGCAGAAGTGTGGTGGTGCTTTTCTTTAAGAAGGGCGATAAGGCCTTACTTAAAAATTATAGACCCATCTCACTTCAGAGCCATGTCTATAAGCTGTTTTCGAGGGTGATCACGAATCGTCTCGCTCGCAGGTTCAATGACTTCCAGCCTCCAGAACAAGACGGCTTCAGGAAAGGCTACAGTACCATAGACCACATCCACACGCTGCAGCAAATTATACAGAAGACCGAGGAGTAAAATTTGCCACTATGCTTAGCGTTTGTGGACTATGAGAAGGCCTTTGACTCCATCGAGACATGGGCAGTGCTGCAGTCTCTCCAAAGATGTCAGGTTGACTATCGGTATATAGAAGTGTTGAACTGTTTATACAATAGCGCCACTATGTCAGTCCGAGTACAGGAACAGAGCACGGAGGCGTTTCTGTTGCCGAGAGGTGTGAGGCATGGGGATGAAATATATCCGAAGCTTTTCACCAATGCAATGGAAGACGCCTTCAAACTCCTGGAATGGGAAGGACTCGGCATTACCATCAATGGCGAACGTATAACTCACCTTCGATTCGGCAGCGTTCGGAAAGCTACGCAGCGTCCTAACATGCAGATTACCACAGAGTCTGAAGATGAAAGTCTTTGACCAATGCGTACTGCCAGTGATGACCTACGGTGCCGAGACGTGGTCTCTAACTATGGGCCTCCTAAAGAGACTCAGCGTCGCTCAGCGGGCAATGGAGAGGGCTATGCTCGGGGTTTCTCTGCGAGATCGAATCAGGAATGAGGAGATCCGCAGAAGAACGAAGGTCACCGACATAGCCAAGCGGATCTGCAAGCTGAAGTGGCAATGGGCAGGGCACATAGCTCGCAGAACTGACGGCCGATGGGACAGCAAAGTTCTCGAGTGGAGACCGCGTGTTGGAAAACGCAGTGTGGGGCGGCCACCCGCGAGATGGACTGCCGACCTGTCCAAAGTCGCGGGACTTCGCTGGATGCAGGCTGCTTCAAACAGATCGAAGTGGAAATCCCTAGAGGAGGCCTATGTTCAGCAGTGGACGCCTACAGGCTGAAATGATGATGATGATCAGATGATTTTGGTTTTTTTCCCTTTTTTTTAAGTTCTTTCTTTTGTGAAAAACTATTTATTGGGAGCCCTTCAACGCATCTAATCCGTATATATGAACGAGGTTTAAAAAAAGTAATTTCCATAATACACGATTTACCAAAAAAAAGAGCAAAGCTCGGTCCTCCACGTACTAAAGTATAATCGTTTAAATAGAAAAAAATATCATGTACTTACCCTAAACTCGGATGTCAGCTCCAAGACTTTGAACAGGGTGCTTTCTTAAGCGGTCAATATCATTATATTAATATCATATATATCTCCATTTCAAACCTCAGAGGTTCATAAGAGAACTGAGTGGAGAATAATTAGTCACCATGGATGGGTTCAAAAGGCTTCAGCCATCTGGATGTAATTGACCTTAGGGGATTGGACACTTGATGTCTTGGTAAGTATTTCATGACTAGATTTATCTGGTTCCTGGTTGACATTCGTACCTGGTCGTGCTGTTTCTACTAAAGATCTATCTCTGAAATATTTTATGTTCTGTTGCTCCGTAGCAGCTTGTTTTATTATATTGTAAAGTAATCGTTTTAAAAAAGGGCAACTGTTGAGTTTTTTGCCGGTTTCTTCTCAACAGAAACTGCTTTCCGAACCGGTGGTAACTTACGAACGTATTAATTATTATGTAAAACTTTGACATTTCAAAAGAACGCGCAAGCGTCTATGTGAATAAATATATTTTTGATTTTGATTTTGATTTTTCCTCGTTTCGCACCCGTAGAGCAGCACGGATTTGACATTCGACCCGAAGATTTTGAGT